CTCATTTGCAACACCCTCAGTACTTGGGAAAGAGCCTTCCGACTTAAATTCAGGCGTGTAAATTCATTAATCAGTTACTTATTTTAAACTGGTCTTCAAAAGTTACTTTGTTCACTCTGCAAATGTTTCACATTCTCTTGAACATTATAACTGCGTTGAAATTAAACACACCTTTGACCTATAATCCCAGCTACTCAGAAGGCTGAGGCATGAGAATGGCAGCCTAGACAACATAGCAAGTCCTTGTCCTTTTTTTTTGGTACCGAGGATTGAACTTGGGTCCTTGTGCTTGCACAGCAAGCAGCGAAACCACTGAGCTAAATCCCTGGCCCAGCAAGTCCTTGTCTTTAAAAAAAGAAAGAAAGAAAGGAGGAAAGAAAGAGAAAGAAAGAAAGGAAGGAAGGAAGGAAGAAAGGAAGACATAGCTATATTGACCTCAACACAAAAATATTAAGATTATGGGTTTGATTTTGTCATCATTCTACTTAGGTTTAAACATTCCTGAAATTGATACTTGTTACCCAAGCTTGATTTTCCCATCTGAAGAAAGACAAATAGGATTTTCATGCAAATGATGCTGGTGGCCTGGTTATTGACAGCCAGGACTAGTGCTGGCCCCTTCCACTCTGCATGAGGTCACTGGGGGCTGGTGGCATAGAATGCATTCCCTCCCTGCTATGGTCTAAATACGTATTGTCCACCAGAGACTCTTGCATTGAAGCCTTCATCACCAAGGCAACAATGTTCAGAGGTGGAGCCTAGGGCTGTGACAGGGTCATGAATGTCACTGAGTCCAGAATGGAATGGGGTGTTGGGAGGTGGGGTCCATGTGAACGAAAATGGTCACTGGGGAGAACCTTTGAAGGGCATATCCTGTTCCCAGCCTCTTCTCCTCTCTGTGACTCTTCCCTGCTCTCTGCTTCTTGGGGTTAGAAGGGTTTAGAAGTTCTTGCCCACGCCCTTCTGCTGCGATGTTCCTGCCTTGGAGCCAGCCAGCCATGGATGGAAACCTCTTAAACCCTGAGCCAAATCAGTTGTTCCCCATTTAAGCTGTTTATGTCAAGTATTTCTCAAAGTGAGGGAAATCTAACCAGTACACTTGCCACGTCAGCCCCGTACTGGGCTGTCCTAGGAAGTTAGTCTTTGCTAGTCCCTTGGTGACTACAGAAGGTCCCAGGTCACATGGCGACTACTCCCTCTATGGGAGAGGGACAGAGAGTGACTACACAGGAACCACACAATCAGTTTTTAAATAACAAAGTTATCATTTAAGGGATGCCAAGTTTCAGTTTTGCAAGATGAAAAGAGTCGTAGGGACGATGGTGGCGATGGTGGTACTGCAACGTGAACGCAATGAATTCTGCTGAACGGCACAACTCAAAAATGGCTAAGATGGTAAGTTTCACCCCATTCCCTTCTATGGTCTGGAGAGAAAGGGGGAGCAGACCCTGTTCTGAGTGCTCAACACAATGTGCAGCTTGTCTGAGTGAAGCCCACCATTCCAGGAGAGGGGCAGGGCGAGGGGAGCGTGGTCCCTGGGGGCCTTGGCTGTTGACCCTCCACTTTCCATGGGAAATGTGGTGCTCTCTGCCAGGTGTCTCAGAGCAGTGTCAGGGGCGCTTTCCCACTGGATTAGGACCGGCTTCTGCATGGGAAGAAATTGCTTATAGACCAAAGATTTCTGCCAGGTCCCCAATTCTGGAGCTGCAGACATCCTGGGTGACTTTTCTTTTGATGTCACCAGCTGAGCTGAGGTGTTTTGTAGCAGATCTTAGGATCTGCAATGGAATGGTCTCTGCTCATGTTCCAGGAGGTAAGAGACCTGCCTTCCCTCTTGAGCTGAGTCTGCAACTACATTTTGGATGCTCCACCACGAGACCATGTTCAACCAGTCTGGTCCACAGCACGGTGATTAGGGGATCCACATGGTGGGACTACAGCTCATGTGGATCTTTAAGAGGTTCCGCATCTCACTGTGTTTTTGTGTGGCCGTTAAGCTAAAGATGTGCTAGTGAAACAGGGAAGAATTGGGAGAAGAGAGATTACAGAAAACAATGTACAAAAAAGCCCCAACACCCTTAGACAAAGAAGGGTAGCCACGAATGTCAAATGGACAAAGATCAAACTAGGTGGAGTTTTGGTTCCTTCTCTGACTTTCCCAATGAAAGCCACAGTCTTTCTCTTTACCCAGTTTCCTCAGTTGCAGAATCAGATCACATCAATATGTACAATTATCATATGCCTATTTAAAAATAGAGGAAAAATCTAGCCCTTTAGGGAGTTATAACAGTGCAATCAAATAGAGCAGTAAATGTGATGTGCGCTTTACTGTGTGGTCACTCTCTGTCCTTCCTAACAGAGGGGCTGTGAGCATGTGGCCTCATCGACATTTGCCCACTGCAATACAGGCCCAGGTTGGCTTATGAGGTCCAGCCCTGCTCCCAGCTCTCCCAGCTCCTTCTGCCTGGGGTGAAGCAGAAAATTCCCGCAGCACCCAGCTGTGTGACTACCTAGATTTGGTGGATTGTGGCCCCTACCCTGAAAGGTGCCATGGTGTTACTCTGCCCCAATCCTGGACTGCCTACTGACCTAGCTGATTTTCTACCCCAAGTTATTCTGATTCATCTTTGAAGATGGGATGCCTGTGGGCCCGAGGTTCTTCCTTAGCTGAAACTGGTGGGATCTGAGTTGGGTGTCAGTGTGACCCCCCCGGGCAACCTCTACCTTCATTATAATCCCGCTTGTGTGCTACATGGCTCCTCCCAGGCTATGACCTTTGACAGTGGCCATGGTGATGTCTAGAAAGAACAACAAAGTGAAAAGAGGTGGTGCTCAAGCTCCAGGATAATCTCAACCCATTCCCAGAAAAGAGATCAGTTATCACCCTTTCCCCCTCCTCATTTTTATACCTTACTCTTATGACTTCCCCACCCCTAACAGGTTGAGAAGTTGGTTTTTGAGTCTGTCTCCCACTTCTCAACCAAGAATGAAAGTCTCCTTCATTGCTCAGTGGGTACTCGGTTTTAGTACTGGTTCTGAGAGGGAGAAACGGACACTGTTTGGTGTCAAACACTGGAACTAATTGGGAGCAGAGCAGGGCAGGGCAGTGGACTCTGGGCAGAGATGCCAGAGGGATCTCTGAGGGAGCTACACATGACAGCTCCAGCAGGTGCGGCAGGTGCTCCTAGAGGAAGACCCCGCTAAACCAAAAGTCTAGGAGCCGCATGGGGTCTGGAGGCCTAGCTCAGTGGTACAGCACTGGCTTAGTATTTGCAAGGCCCTGGGTTCCATCCCCAGCACTGTCCCCCCAATCCTTGGACACGATATTCCACAGCAGTCATAAGCAAGGGGCAGCAGGTGCAGGGTGTGTGGGAGCCCGTGCCAATGCTGAAGAGCGATGGGGAGGCAGGTGTACTGGGAGTGGGGTGTGCACGGTGGGTGGGGCTGGGTACAATCCCTAGGGGAGCTGGGCATGGTCTGTGGAGGGTCCCACCACCTGTCAGCAGTTAATCTTTGTTCCTGCAGCCAGGGTGGGCTGGGCTGGAAGAACCTGGCATGTGGGTCTGAGCTGGCTCCACTCAGAGGATCAGCAAGGAGGGTGGGGTGAAGGTCGCACCAGCAGGTAGAATGTGTAGGGTATGTGCTCCCGAGCTGCTAGAAATTTTCAGTTTCAGTTTCCCTATTGGAAGCCTGGGTATATGTACCCGGAAGACACCTCTGCTCACTGTTCGGCCTGCAGTTGGAGACTGGATCTGCACAACTCAGGACGGCTGGGCTGAGTCCACACAGACAGAGGAGGATTCCTTGGTAAGTTGGGGAAGCCCTGTTTCCTCATCTTCATAACATCTCTGCCAGAGAAGAATTAGCATCCCCAAGTCATAGATGAACTCAGAGAGCTTGGGGAATGGGCCCCAGGCCACACAGTCGAGCAGCAGCAGCAGTAGAGCCTGGGTTGGTCCACGTTCATGTCTGACTGCTCCCCTCCCTTGTACCTTCAGCAGAAGAGAGAAGAAGGAGCACATGGATGGGTCACAAAGCTCCCCTGGGCTCAGCTCAGGTGGAATGAGACAAGGCCAGGTGACCTTGAGAAAAGGTGCATGTGGTAGTGGCCTCTGCTTTGGAAAGTTTGGAGGAACCAAAGAAAGTGGATGAGGGCAGAGGACTCAGAACCCCCCGTCCTTGTGGCCTGGTCACCCTGAGGCTGGGACTGCTACAGAGGCACATGGGGAGCAAAGGGTTTCTTTTGAGATACAAGGAGCCCAGTGGTTATCTCACCAACACTGTCCTTGCCACTTGCTCTGTGCCACAGGGCAAACTGAGGCCCTGTGAGGGGACTGAGCAGGTAGACAGTAGGCCTGCATCCTATGGGCCCTCAAAGGTCCCCTACCTCAGACTGAGGGAGCAAAAAAGAAGGCAGAAGCTGGGCTGTGTGTTGGGACAGGCAAGGTGACTGGACGAGGGAAGTGCGAGGGACCAGATTGCAGAATGGTGTCCCCAGCACCACTGCAGCTTTGTAGCTTGGACTTTATTACTTGCTCTCCTGTGGCTGGATGGTTAGTTATCTCCTTCCTTTTGGTGGTAAAAACAAACCCTCTCTGAGCACCACTCTGACGCCTTTGCACACTGAAGGAAGCCTGGAACCAAGGTGCGCGGTGAGCAGGGAGAGGAGAGGAAGGAGGAGCTGCAGCAGGCAGGAGGGCCTGAGTGCTGGCTTCAGGGGCCAGAACTTGACCTTGGCAGCTCAGTAAAGATTCCTTAGGAGGTGTGTGCTGTCTTAACCCTTGGAGGCTGACTACACTGACCACTGAGTAGAAGAGGCCATGCTAGAACCCCTGTTCTGGTACCTTGGAGAACCCAGAACACGTCTGACAGGGCAGGGAGGGCTGCCTGGCTGGGCTGAGGTAATGGGCTGGAGCAGCGCCAGGCAGGCACCGCCCTGGCTTCCTCCCACCAGTGGCCTTTCTGGGAATTGAGCAGCTGGCAGGCTCAGCCACAGTGCCTGGCTCGCTAATTCCCATGGGGTAGAAGGGAGCACTCCCCACACGGGCACAGGGCTGAGGCTCCAGACGAGGGCCTGAGTGAGACCAAGAGCGACCAGGCAGGATGAGACCCAGGGAGCAAACTCATTGACACTGTGTGGAGTCAGCAGGACCCCAGGTCTTTCTGCCTGCCCAGGCCTCTGCCTCAGCTCCGACTCCCAGGGTCACGTGACCCCAGAATGCTGGGTGGTTCAGGATCAGGCAGTATTGGAAGCAGGAAGAAGGTGAAAAGGGCAGCTGGCTCTCCTGTCACACTTGTCCCTTAGAGCAAAGAGCCCCCAAGAAATCTCTCAGCTGACTTTTTCCTGTGCCTCATTGGTCAGGCCTGGGTCAGACAGTCACCACTGAGAGCCAGAAGCCCCAGGAGTCAGACACTTGGATGTGGTGCGGCCAAGACAAGAAGCAGACAGGTGAGAGGGGAAGAGGGTAGCTTTGCACTCGGTGGCCATGGGAGCCATTATGGTGGTAAGACAATGTCCGAGAGCAGAGATCAGCACCTGAGAGGGTTATGCCTGGCTGTGACCAGACCTGCTGTGTCCTAGGAAGAGAACGGGACCTGCTGGGAGCTGTCCCCAACTTGGGTGGGCCTGACAGGGACACTTCACATGTGCATGGGCTTATTGTTTCCTTCTCACATGGCAGAGGCCATACGTGTGTCTGCAGGCAGTGTCCTCCAGCCCGAGGACACACTGGTCACTCCCATGGTCAATGGGACAGGTGGAGTTTGAGGGAGGAGGGGGTGTGATTTCATGGCCCTCAGGAAGGGGTTGCTAGAGAAAACCCATTGTGGATGCGTCTCAGGTTGGCTGGGTGCAGGAGGCTCTGCATTGTGGCTGTGTAAAGGGAAGAGCAGTTCTATGTATGGGGATCTCAACAAACCTATCTGCAGAGGGAAGGGACCAGAACCAGGATAAAGCTGTTCTCCATAACAAAGTAGCAGTCATTCTTTGTAGCCAAGACAGAGTGTCCGTGGCTGTACCAAGATACCTGAGAGCAGGTAATTTATAATTTAGAGGATTATTATGGTTTTAGAAACTGGGAATTCTAAGAGCATGGAAGCATCATCTCCTATGCATTGGGAGGACCTTCGCGTGGCACCTTAAAATGGTGGCCAGTGTCAGAGAGCAAGGGTGCATAATGGAGGCAAAGTTTACACAGGAGAAAGCTCTGCATTGTTCAGATCAAGGAGAGAAACAACGTGAGGTGCAAGAGTTAGGCCAGGACAGCAGAGGGCGCTGTGCAACCACAGCAGGGCCAGGGGCTGGCAGGACTGCAGGTCCTCATGGGATAGTACTGAAGCAAGGAGGAGCAGACCTTGGGCACTACAGGGGCACTGGTAATTTTACCATGAAGGGAGATGGGCACAGGGTACAGGATAAGGGTTTGCAATGAGAAGTGTCCTTGACAATAAACATGCATACATGAGTGTATGTTTTGCATATTTAAGGGAGCAGAGTGTAGTCATCAAAACATGGGATGTGGACCAGAGAGCCGAGTTCAAGTCCTGGCCCCTGCAGCTCTGTGAAAATATGGGTGAGTTCCCTGAGCTTCCTGATGGTCCCCCCCGCTTTAGAATGGGAGCCATAGATGTTCTCACTGCGTCGAATGTGTGAACACTCACTGAGGTGCACGGAAGGAGGCTGCACATTGCAGACTGTCAATAAACACTCACCAGCGTCACTAGTGAACACGAGTGTTCCCGGCCCTAGGCACTCACCAGGATGTGGCTTCCCATGTGTTCTTCTACGTGTGGGCTCTGTGGTTTCTACATGGCTGTGTCCTCATCCCATGCCCCCTCTGTGTGCCCTCAGAGGCCCAAGGCCTCTGCCTGGTGGGTGCGGACAGAGGGAGCTGGAGCAGGAGCAGGATGGCTGCCTTTTTAAAAATAGCAGCCACAGAGCCTGGGGGACAGAGAGCACTCTGGGAGAAGTCTGTTTTGACCTCACTGCCATCCTGGAGGGAACCCTAGGAGACCTGGCCCCGAGCCACTCCCCTTCACCATCTTCACCCCATGTGGCTGCCCTTCCACTTCATGATCTGTCTCCTCCTCCCCTCCAGCCTGGATGGCCTGAGGAGCTGTAAGGAAACCTCCCAGAGACGCTGCTGCTGATACCATGGCCTCTGTCTCCTCCCCAGGTACTGGCTTCCTCTTCTCTGGTGGGTTCCTCTCATGGGGTCAGGACAGGTGTCATCTCCAAGGTGGCACCAAGGTGGCAGCTCCAAGGCAGAGCCATTACCCAGAATAGTGGTGAATGGGAAAGGGGAGCCCCTGAGGGACCTAAGGATCTCTGACCAGGGCCTGTGGGTCTCCCTTCCGAGTCCTCTCCTTAGGGACACGGCCCAGCTGCTCACTTCCTCCCCAGCCTGCCTCCCAGTCAAGGTCTCAGGTGGACACAAGACTGTCTTGGGGAGGCCCCTGCTGCCTGCCCCAGGCACTGACCCTGGGGCGCTGCCCATGAGGAGGCGGTTCCTTCTAGCTCCTGCTCTGCGGGGCCCAACTGCTCTTAGTGGCTCAGGAGGAAGAGTGACCCAGAGTGCCATTGCACTGGAGCCCTGGGTGACCTCTGCCCCCTCACATCTGTGTGACCTGGAGCCTCTGCCCTCCCCTTCAGGGGAGAACAGTCTCCCAGGATATTTTGAGGGTCAGGTATTGTTATACTTAAACCTGAGAGATTATAGAGAATCACCACAATTCTGAGCCAAATTTGAGTCCTCTATTGTCTGCGTTCCAGAGCAGCTTGCACTGGAAAAACTCGAGCAGGAAGAGGCTTGTGGGCCTCTTTTAAGTGGCTCTTCTAATTGAGGAGGGCTCAGTGAGAGGGGGAAAGCAAACTGTGCTGTCAGTAGCAATGGTGAAGAACAAGGGAGCTGAAAGACTGGAGGCTAGGGGAGCCCAGCAGGCCTGGCATCCTGAGGCAGGGCTGAGGCTGGTGGTCTCCTTGGGATGAACACTTCCTCAACAAATGGGCCAGCCTGGAGCCAGAGGTGCCACTGGAAATTGTGTTTCCTGAGACCTGAAGAAATTGTTTCCAGAGTCCCAGGCGAGTTGCCAGATTCATGTGGAATCAGGCCTGGCTATCCTTTAAACACCAAGCGATAAAAGTAATGGCGAGAAGCAGGGAGTGAACTTTGAACGGTATAGTTGTAGGGGAAGACAAATGGACCAGTGTCCTCAGCCCTGTCCTCAGAGGTGCTGGCATGAGCTCCCAGATTATACAGACAGGGGGCAGCAGTGTGAACAGTCACCTGTCTATGTAAATGGGGTCTGGTTGGTCATTGTTTCAACACTGGTCAGGATGGGCTTTGTCCAAAGCAATGAGGAGGTTACTGTTCCCTGGGTGTCAGGGCTGGTGGGTTTAAAGGAGGTCTGGTCAGGCGAGGTTCCCAAAGAAAAGAAGGCATGTGGAGCAGACATCACCAGAAAGCAGGAACCAAACTTTAATTTTAAAACCATAGGGCAGCATCAGACCATGGGAGTTGGAACTGCAGCTGCTGAGCTCAAGAGCTGTGTGTCCTTTTTTTAAATCCACTTCTCTGAGGCACACTGAGACAAAAAACTCACATGACCTCGGATAGCTGTGTAATACGCGTGTGGTCTTCCTTGCTGACGTATTATTATAACAATGTCTGTCATGCACCTGCGCTTTGTCAGATGCCTGGGCTTTGACACATCTACCAGTGGCCCCTTGCACTGGGGAGTCGTTTCTGTCCCCCAGAAGATGCTGATCCAAGCTGATGCAGGAGAGAAGACTCAGAGCAAAGGGCAGATGCAAACTGGAGGCAGATGCCAAGTGCTCACCCTGCTGTGGTTTCCCACTGGTCACCTGCAGGCCCAGGGAGGTCAGGGCTTAAAGGCAGCCTAAGTCCTGGTCACAAGATCACGAGGATCAGAGTGGAGAGTCCAGGCCCCACCTCCATCCTCACCCACCTGAAGAGTCCCCTGCACTGCCACTGTTGGTACTGGGGACCCCTGAAACGTTACCGGAAACCTCTGCAGTGGACTCCAGTCTCCTGGCCAGTATATGACACAGGCCTGAGAAATCAATCTCAAAGACAGAACTAAGACAGACAGAAAGGGGGGAGCCACAATAAGCAATACAGGTACAACGGACAAAGGCACTGGGGAGTCCAAGTCATTGATTTTTATTGGTAATCATCTGGGTTAAAGGCAAGTTACGTGTAAGGGCAGAACTTCCGGTGAGAACAAGTGATTGTGTACATTGTATAGAACTCAATGTGAGCAAGGCTTGTAAATGACAAGACAAAGCATTCTCGAATTAGGAACAGAATAGACAAAATATATGGTTGTAATTAGAACATTGTCCTTCTACAAAGAAGGTTTTTGTTGTGGGAATGGAATTTGTGACCAAGTTTCTCTGACTTTGACACATAGGCTTTTGAGGGATTCACCTATAGAAAAAGCCAATTGTGGAGTTAACTCTTCCCAGCCTGAACTGCTTACAGCCGGCTTTGAGCATTATTGATGTTGAGCAGTATCGATATATTGCAGTCTCCCACATGTGGAACAAAAAGGAACCTTTTTTTCATGACAATATTACCCAGGAGTGCATAGTTACAAACATTTACACATTTTAAAAAATCTCATAGGTAAATTGTAAAATAGATTGCAGAGGTCACAGAAATTTTAAAAACATGAGCTTTCCAAGTGATACAAAAAATTGGCCAGGTTGGGCTGGGGATTTAGCGCAGTGGTTTCACCGCCTGTCCTGCAAGAGCAAGGACCCGAGTTTGATCCCCGGTACCAGAAAAAAAAAATTGGCCAGGTAAACTTGCATTTAAATTATGAGCTTTCTTCTTTCTGGCTTTGGGCAGCCTCTTTTCCTGGCTGGGTCTCCACTTGTTCATGAAAGAATAATGTCTCTCTTGTGAGTACACAGTGCAAACACATTTCATATTACATCTCAGTAGGCATACATAAATATATACTGGTACCCAGTCCCTTGTCTGCAATACCATTAGGTCCAATCCTGCACACTACACATTTTCTGGGTGACTCAGCCAGTAATATTGCCCTCTACTGGGTTGAGCCTATTTCTAGCTTTTACACTATTTATCTCATGGAATGTGAACACTCATATTTCCACGTCAAAACATTAATACATTTGACTGTCATTATTGGCAAGTAATATTCCATATGTGCTCTGTGTTCTCTTTCTAAAAGATTGAAAATTCTCTTTAATTGTCTATATGAAAGTACTTATTGGAAAGTATTTTGACTGTTCTCAACACGAAGAAATGACGGATATTTGAGGCCATAAAATAAAATTTTTCTTGAAATATCACACTGTGCTTGACAAATACATATAATTGTTATGTGTTCATTAAAATAAATATTTGAAAATTATTTAAAAATAGTTAAAGATGATTAAAAGTTCTCAATTCCTAAACATATCTAGGACCCTCGTATTAAGGGGCTCTCTCTCTTTTGTTATCTATATCTATCTATTTATTTATCTACTATATACATCATATACAGTTGCATCTCAGTTCACAAACTCAATTCTCTGCAAGATTCTGGTTGCAAACTAAACTGGTTGAACTGAATTAAATTTCCCTGTGAGGTCAACATTGAACCTAACCCTTGTATTTGATTCAGTTCTCCTCCAACTTGGTTTTGTGATCAGAATCATGGAAAGAATTGACTTCATAAACCGATATACCCCTGTAGATGTAATGTCATATAAATAATTTGCAAAAGCAACACATATCCTTACGATGTTCAACATGTTCTAATATTGAGAATTCTATTTCCTTTTCAAAGTGCTGCTCTTAACCCAATCAATGAATTTCTGAACCCACTGATGGTGGAAACTCACATTTTGAAGACCTGGGTACATACTGTTTGGCACACAATGGGCACATGCTAGGTGAACCCATGCTTGGAAGTTTCCTGCTCCCCAGGCTGAGGGTCACTTTCTGAGATTTGTGCTGAAGGCACTTCCGTGGTGTGTTAGTCTCCTCAGGCTCCTTCGCAGGACACCACCAGTTGGTAGCTTCAAGAGAAGATGTCTATTTTCTTTCTTTCTTTTGGTACCGGGGATCGAACTTGGGTCCTTGTACTTGTGAGGCAGGTGGGAGAGCCACTGAGCTAAATCCCCAGCCCAAGATGTCTATTTTCTTACAGTTCTGGCAGCCAAAATCTGTGGTGAGGGTGGGCCAGGGTTGGTTTCTGGTCAGAGGGAATTTCCTGGTTTGTAGAAGGAGTCTTCTCACTGTGTATACACATGGCCTTTCTCTGTGCATGGGGAGAGAGAGAGAGAGAGAGAGGGAGAGAGAGAGAGAGAGAGGGAGAGAGAGAGAGAGAGATTCTTTTAAGGACACCAGACCTACAGATTAGGGCCCTACATTTATGAACTCATTTAATCTCAGTTATTCCACCTCCTTAAAGGCCTTATCTTCAAATTCAGGCCACTGGGGTTTAGAGTTTCACGTATGAATTTGGGCAACACAATATATTCCGTAACACTGGTTATGTGACTCCATCTCAAGTATCTGATAGGACAGTAGCTCCCAGGATGAATAGCCACCTGTCCCCAAAGCCATGTATACTCCACTGCACCGTCATCTGACTCTATTCTTTCTTTCCTCAACCAGATAGTGACAGTTTCGTAGAAGACGTCATTGAGTATATCATGGACACACTGAGCAGTGAGGACCTGCAGCAACTGCTGACTGAAGATGGCTCCTGGGAGATATTGGTGGAGACGACTGATTTGACCAGGTCACCTGCACGGGCCCCCAGCAGTGCCACCCAGAGCCCCACTGGACTGGGATTCCCGGGGGTGGACACAGCTCCTCCAGGCTGTTTCCTGTGGTTGGGGCTCAGGGTGCCCCTTCGGCACCGTCCCTGCGGGAAATTATCTCCATGTCATTCCCTGGCAGTGAATGGCCTCAGGGTGAAGGGACATGGCAGCAAGGGGGCAGGATCACTTCTGGCAACTGCTGGTTATGTGACCTTTGCTATCTCTACACCACTCTCGGCCTTACTGCCTTCATTCATTGAGTTTCATGGTAAGGAAAGTAAGATAACGTGTGGAACCTGCTTAGGTTATCACTTACACACAACAGGGGCTCAAGCAAAGGCCAGGAGGGACGAGAGCAGGGCCGAGGGTCCTCCTTGGAGACAGGTGCCAAGAAGGTCTTGCTTGAGAAAAGTCACAAAAGTGTAGACCTCACCAGTTGGGTTTCTGGGGGTCAAAGCATGGGGACACCATGGGCCCCGCAGAGGACACTGAGTCGGTGAGACACTCTTTCCTTTCCTCGTTGTGGTCCATCCGAGATAGACACAGTGGGCTGCGGTGGGGGGTGGCTGTTTCCTTCACACCTGTTGGTCACCCAGGAGTTCTCAGCCATCATGTGGGACCCTCTTCTGTTCACATGGAGTGGCCCTGACCCTGGGGAAGGCAGTGGCTTAGCGACAGCTTTCTTAGACAGAATGGTTGATGGCCTCTTTTGTGTAATTTACTTATTTATTTATTTTTTTGGTACCGGGGATCGAACTTGGGTCCTTGCGATTGCAGGGCAGGTGGCAGAACCACTGAGCTAAATCCCCGGCCCCTCTTTTGTGTAATTTAAGTCTGGGGACTCAAAGTCTGCAGCTCAGAGGGGACCTTCTCTGTTCCTGTGCAGGTTCAGGTTTCTCAGGGTCTAGGTTCAGAGATGGATCTGAAGGTCGCTGGATTCTTTGTGCACGGCCTTTGCATGAGCTCCTGGAAGGTGTCACTGGCTAAGGTGCCATTTAGGCTCATGACATCTGACAGTAAAGTCCTGATCTTGGGGTGCCAGGTGAGGAAAGATGTCGGCTGTGTAAGTAAACTGTAAGGAAGGTAGAGAGGATGGAGGCAGGGTAAATAGCCAGGTCTCCTCTTCTCAGTCAGTTCTTGGAGCAGCTGGATCCAATGACTTCAGGTCAAAGTGCAAATGGCATCAGACATTGGAATAGAGTTGGTGGGAGGCCAACTAATCTTTGTGATCTCCTTTGCCTCAGAGTTTACTTTTTATATCTCATTACTCAGAGTTAATCAAACTGCAAAGTCTGAGGGCACAACCTCCAAGACTAACTTTAGTTTTGACACCAACCGCAAATCTGAAGACTCCCAAAACCCCATGCAGGTGTGACAATTCACTAGAGGGACTCAGAGAATTCACTAGATGTTTATTACACACAGTGTATCACAGGGAAAGGCACAGGGTAAAATCAGTCACAGAAAGGCTTACATAGGACATAATTTGGCAGGGTTTCAAGCATGAAGCTCCCATTTTCCTCAGGACACAGTGTGCTCCTGTATTTCACATGTGACAATTCACACAGGATGCCGATGTGCCAGGCTCACCCTGTGAAAGGACACATTATTTTGATGCATAGCCAAGCAAGCACCAGATGGACTGGAAAGCCAAGGTCAAAGTCTACTTGCAAAGAAATTCAGAAGGTCCTAACTCAAGTTTGGTCATGCCTTGTTGTCCAGGCTTCAGGGCTAACCTGGAGTTTCCATCTGCTCCTGGAGGCCAGTATTTTTAGTCTCCAGTTTCTGTGGAAGTCAGAAATGATCCCAAAGCCCCAACATGCATCACATTGTTAGGATGACCATGCATTATGGAAAACTCCTGGAATAAGGAATGTTTTCTATGATAGATGTTTTCTGATTTTGAAATATTTGCAGATATATAAAAAGATATCTTGGCATGTTAGCTACTTTTCTCCTGTCGCAGAGACAGTAGTTAAAGCGGGGAAAGGGTTTATCTCAGTTTGTAGAGGTTTCAGTCCATAATCAGCTGGCTCCAAGGCAGGGATGGCCAATGGGCATCACAGAGGAGAAACAACATCACCTAAGACAGCAAAAGTACGAAGGAACCTTCCAAGCGTTTTCTGCCCTTATTATCTTACTCAGACCACACAGATTGGTGGCACTCACACCCTTAATCTTAAGACCTTTAGGTTCAGCCCCACCTTGAATCAATCACACATTCTAGATTCAGCCACCTCCCAAAAAGCATGATGCTTTCGGGGGACATCTGAACACAAGTCATAACACCCGGGAATGTGACTCAAGACAAAACATGAAATTCATTTATGTTTCTTTACAACTTGTATGCATAGCATGAATGTAATTTCATACAATATTTTTAGCTTGCTTGTGCTTTGACTGTGACCTGTCACATGGGTCAGGCATGGAACTTTCTTGTGGCATCATGTCAGTGCTCAACAGTTTCAGATTTTGGTGTTTTTCAGATTTATGTTTTTGGATTAGGAATCTCAGCTAGTGTAGTCCCCAGGCAAACACAGACATTCCTAATAGTCAGGACATTCTAGGGGTCTACAGATCACAATCTGGTAGCTGAGGGCAAAGTGAAGGCTTCCCTTTGATTCAGGTTAATTCTTCGCTGTACATTAAGATACTCTGAACTAAGCTCCCCGCCCACCACCACCCACCTCCCATTGTTCCACTTCTCTGTGTTCATCTACATGATTCCCCTTCTACAAATACTTTGCTTGTCATGGCATTGTCCTTGAGTGAGATGGTGCTTTGTCAAATACCCACCACTAAAGAGCGTGTGAAAACGCCTTACAATCATTGACCCTGTTATTAAATAATGATATCCAAAACATGTTTATATCTGAAAGAAAACTTTTGTGCATCTTTGTAATTCTCTTTCTTTGATTATAATAAATCTCTGTCATTTATGCAGGGTAGATCTTAAGAGAGCCCATTTTCCAAACAGACAAACTGCCTTTCTTAATCACTTGACCTTTACTGTTACAGGGAGGAGGCAGATGCTGTACGTGAGACTCTGACTGAGTTGGAAGCACACAAGGAGAGGTTTTTGAATGTATTTCCTCATGTGAAAAAGGAGCTGGAGGAGGGCATAGCCAAGCTCTACGGGCTTGCAGATAAGGTTGACAAGGTGCACAAGGACTGCACCATCACCAATGTGGTGGCCAGCTCCACCGGTGCTGTCTCTGGGATCCTGACCATCCTTAGCCTGGCTCTGGCACCTGTGACAGCAGGTGGCAGTCTGGTGCTCTCAGCCACTGGGATGGGGCTGGAAGCAGTGGCCACTGTGACTGGTGTTTCTGCTAGCATTGTGGACCACTCAAACACATTATCAGCAAAAGCTGAAGCCAGGCGCCTGCTGTCAACCAGCATGGACACAGAGAAGGAGGTTTTCCAGGCTGTGGGTGAGGCCACACCCAAAGTTATTTCTGCAACTGAGAAATGTGTGAAAGCCTTCCAAGCCATTGGGAAGAATGTCTGTGCCATTAATGTGGCTAAATCCAACCCTCGGTTACTAGCCAAGGCCAACTGCCTTATGAAAACTGGGAAAATCTCAGCCCGAAGTGGTAAGCAGGTGCAGAAAACCCTTGGAGGGACTGTTCTGGCAATGTCCAAAGAAGCCCGGATCATGGGAGCAAGAACTGCAGGTGTAACCCTTCTGAAGGATGTGTACAACCTTGTGGAAGATTCAGTGCATTTGCACAAGGGGGCAAAGACAGAGTCAGCTGAAGAGCTGCGGCAGCAGGCTCAGGTTCTGGAGAGGAAGTTGGAGGAGCTCATCCGGATCCATGAGAGTTTGCAGTCAGACCTGACTAAGTGACACCCAGCCCAAGCAGTGCAGATCTCAGGGCCCTTGTGCTTTTCAAACACATGGACAAAGGCAGGAAGTTTTGCAGAGGAGAAAAAGAGGGTGAGATGAAATCTATGCTGGGTATTAAGGAATTTTGGATTTCTGGAACTAAACATATCCAGAGAGGGGTTATTGCAGATAAGTGAATTAAAGAGAAAGCAGGGACCTGGGGCCTGACATAAGGGACAAGAAGTGACTGAAGTACATGGGAAATAGGAGGAAAGAGTATTTTTTTCCTAACAATTCACTGTGGACCTGGGTAGAAGCAGCTGCAGGAAGAAACAGTGGGAAGTTTAGAAAAACAGAAGAGCAGAAGTTGAGAGGAGCCACGGTTAGAACTGTTTGGACTTGGGAGGAGAAATGGGGCTCTGCGTCTCACTCCTCTCACAGGCTGATGTCCCAGCAAGAGTGCAGCCTGTCCTCTTCGTCCCCAGGGTCAGCACGCCCTTGTCTCTGTCAGGCAGTGACTTCCTGATCATGATGATGAAGATGATGATGGTGGCGGGGGTGGGGTGGGGAGGGATGACAGTAGAGCTGGTGGAGCACTTTGCACATGGCCAAAGGGAGGAGGGAAGTATAAGAGGATGAAAAAAGTTTTAAGACACGTTAGTACGTGTACCACTCTCACCATGAGGGATGGAAACATTATGTATTATAAACATGTACTAATAAAAAACAAAAATTGTAAAAAAATATGATTTCTTTTCCCAAAGGAGGGAACTCTTAAATTTGTTTTACTTGAGGCATAGCAAAAATAGGTATGGCATTTCAAACATCAAAAATACAATCTTGATTGGTTAGTAATGCAGGCAAAATACATGCTAACAGCACTGAAGAAACCTTTAGTTTACTTTATTTTTTGCTTTTGTTTTTGAGACAGGGTCTTGCTATGTACTCCAGGCTGGCCTTGAACTCACTGTGTAACCCAGGCTGGCCTCAAACTAGGAGCATCAGCCTTATAAGTGTTGGAATTAGGCATGTGCCACCATGCGTGGCTCCTTTATTTTACTTTAATAAATCTAATTTAACTTATTTTTAAAAGATGTATATAAGTGTTGTCAATTAAAAGTAATCTGTGCCAGGGATTTAGCTCAGTGGCGCTGTCTCGGAAGCCCAAGGTCCTGGGTTCCATCGACATTACCAAAAAAAGGAAAGTAATTTGTTTTTTTCCTAATTTATGAGTGCTCATTAATTTGTAAATTAACTTGGTACCAAGGAAACAGTTTACACACATAAATACACAATAGAAATGGCATATAATACACATGTATACACATACATACATACAAAGATCATGTGATTTTAATTTAGATTTGTTATTTACTATTTTTTTAAAGGTGCAAGTGTTGATGTGATTCCTTTTTTCACAGTCCTAAGCAATCCTTAATCCTACACTGTACCTCTGGTGGTATTGTCACTCAACATAGTCTGAGGAGGTTCCGTGAAGTGGAGATGAGGAATCTCAACTCACTCCACCAACTGGGTAGGTTGTAGGTTTGCTGATTTCCATTAAGGAAAAATAATTTTTAAGACATATCAGTGAGAGGCATAAAGAGACTTATTTGGCAAAATTTAAAAGTACATACTCAGAAAGAATAGAGGGTGAGCCTGTAAGAGAGACAGGTGGATAATGATCAGGGGTTGGGTTTTTGTGGACTCATAGGAGTCCTCGAGTTGCCTGATCTAGGATGTGTATTCCCAGTGTCTGTCGAGTTTCCCTATCTGGTAGGCTATGTTAGAATGCAAGCCATTTACATGTGCTTGAAGCTGAGATCTGCTGCCCTTTTAATAGTGTGCTTTTATGAGCATGGAGATGGGTAGGAGGGAGCTCAGTTTACAGGCAAAATTATGAGCCCAGAACCAGGGAAAGGCAAGTACCCACATCTCAGTTTGCGGACTTACTGCATTAGGGAAGGTGTTTTGCAAGAGTTTCCTGGAAGGGAAATAGATGGTGCAGTGTGTGGCTGTGGATGCGCAGAGGATGAAGATTACCCAGAGATGAGATGTCGTCCAATCACTGAGAACCCAGAGGGCTGCTTCTTGGCCATAAGAGAGCCTAGGGATACAGCAACCAACTGAGCCCTCTGTGGTTATTTATTTGTAACTCAAGGGCATGAGAACAAGGACATGGAAGAAAAGCATTTTGCAGCCTATTGTGTAGGAGTTTATGTCAGAGGACAGGGCCAGAATGGGATGGTTTGCTACGTGACACATGTTGTCCTAGTTTAGATAAACTTTGTGGGGCAGAGGGGACACAATGGGCAAAGCAAACATCTCTAACAGTAACTTGCTCTTCCTTCTGCTGACTGTTGTCCTGCAGATTCTGCTGTAAACTCTAACCGTGCATTTCAGGAGCACAGGACCTGTTGTTCTCCAAATGTCTTCTTTAGTGCACTCAGGTTTAATCACTCCTTTGGCCAGTGACTTCCCACATATAGGCTTGAACAATTTTGTTGTCCTTAAATTGCAGTTTTTCTTGAAAGTACAATTTAAAGATTACCATTTTCCTTATTTCTTTTTTGCCTACCTTTATTTATTTTATCCTCCCTCATATGATTTTTGAGGCAAGGTAGAAAGTTTACATCTGAAGGGCAGAGAACATTATCTGTGCCCACCTAATGTGAAAGAAGATTTCTGGAGGTTTTTCTTCCCCTTTTTTTTCATCAGAGGTTTCAGTCTTTGCAGAAAGAGCTTGCCCTATAATTTAAAACATTTCCTATTGCATCAAAACAGACACACCTCAGAAGTCTAAATATACTATATCCTTTTATACAATCATCTAAGTCCTCCAGTTTAGGGTAGTAATAAAACCTAGGAACATCAAATGTTCCCCACAAAGAGAAACACAAATTCAGGCATCTTTTATGAAATTTCCCCATTTTTGTTAAGTACAGAGTCATCATAGTTATTATTATTATTATTTTTTGGTACCGGGGATCAAACTCGGGTCCTTGCACTTGTGCAGCAGGGGGCGAAACCACTAAGCTAAATCCCTGGCCCTAGTCATCATAGTTATTAAAGACACACTCAGCTGATGGACAAAATGTTGATTTCTTCTTTAACAAGCCCTTCTTCCTTGACTGTTTTTCACGTTTATTCCCTTTCTCTTGAAAATTAAAACTTTTTATGCTAGCTGGTGAGACCTGTATTTTGGATCAATTTAATGTGCTCCTTATGGGAGTAGCTTTTTCACATTTCACTCTAAATTCAGTTCTTCCCACTGTCTCCTGCATTTATCCTGCACATTTGTCAGAATTCTAGTGGGCTCAAAATTCTGGGCAGTCAACCCTAATATATAACTTTCTGGATGAGCCAAGGAATGAGGTATGTTGTTTTAGGATTCCTTATTATACTAGTACAGATAACACATCTGGGCTCTGGGGTCACTCCCTGTTCACTGACCTGAATTTAGGCAACACCCCAGGGCCAATCCTGCTTCCATGGTCCTAAGAGAAGGAGAAATAAGAATAACAACCCCCGAGGAACACCAAATAAGGTCTCAAGAAAACTCAGATTAGCTCATAAACAATGGATTGGCCCACAGAAGAAGCAGCCCCACAGGCAAGCAAAAGAAAGGAAAAGGCATGATGTGCACTCAGGGGTCAAATTTTGAGCTCAGAGATTCCTTGAAAATGTTTAATTTTCCATTTTATGAAAAGAGAGATAGGCAGGTGACACTACCTCAAATAGAAAGAGGCTTTTGTCATTCCCATCCTCCAGGGCCAAACAGGCATTGTTTGAAATGCTTGGGGCACATCTTGTTCACAGTGATGATGCTAGTCTCTTTGTGGTGACCAGATTCTGGGGTCACTGGGCCAGAGGCCTGAATCTGGGCTGCAACTGTCTGGGACTTTTTTGCCTACTTGCTATCAAAAGCATGAGAAAAGCCTATACAAACAGAGATATGAGTTTATTCACTATTTGGCCAAACTGTGAGGGTAACTACCCCATGTTCCTCTAATGAACAGAAGCACGCTAACATATAAGAGGAGTAGAACAAACACCAGGAAACATGAAAATGTCAATTCAGGTAGACTTTGTTCCACCAGTATGCCTAGAAAAATGTTCACAATTTAATTCTTTTGATAGTTCCTTGGTGCCAGCACCAGGTGTGGCAGCTGTCCTTCTCAGCATGAGGAAGGTGAACACAAAGTTGAGCTTTAAAAATCCCAATTTTCAAATCTCTTTTTCAGGTTCTCAATTTTAAGCGTGCAACAGTGGGACCCTGGGATTTGTATATGTTTGGAAATTGTCCACCAGTCCATGTTTTGGGTGTTTCCTCTGGCCAGGCTACTATTGTGACTGAGAATCCTTAAGTGCACTGGAACAGAGAAGGTAATTGCTCACCAGTTACATCCATGAGCTGTGCCAGGCCTTTTCTCTCATCTTGGCCTCCCTTCCTTCAAGGACTCTGGGTCTGTCCTACAACTCAAGTTTGAGAACTGGATGACAAGCAAGGACAAGACAGCATGATGACCTATGTCTGTCCTTTGCTCACTGCATTTGGGGTTTGACAAAGCAAGTTGACTGTCCCTGATTTTCCTTCTGGGAATCTCTGCATGTGAAGCTTCCCTGAGCCCTAGTCCTGTGCCATTTGTATGGAAATATATGAGGACCTGTGCCTGACACAAGGACCCTATTTTCTTGAAAGCACAGAAGAAACTAGATACAGTATAAAAGGACCAGTGAGTGACTGAATGTGAAGAACATCCATTGGCAGGAGGAAAAGAAAAAGAGGTAAAAGTCCCTATAAACTAACATCCTAACAAGAGGCCTTCAAAAAGATGGGGCAGAGTGTCCTTGAGGAGACCTCCAGATTGGCGCACCACAGCTCTCAGGCAGCAGGAGGCTTCCGGGTAGGCGTGCCACAGCTCCGAGCCCAGAGGAGGGGAGCTGCGTGGGCGACAGGAACACAGACCCACCCTACTCCCCCTCCCCCCTCCCCCGCGTCAAAAGGAGAAGACACATAAACAAGCCTCAGAACCAGACTTCCAGATCACCTACAGCAACCCCAAAGGGAAAGGAGATGGAACAATCTGATACACAACCACCTGGACTCTCTGAACTGGCAACAAAAGAGGATCTGGGAAAAATGAAATCAGAAATAATTACTCAGATA